GAAGTTGGGTGGGGGGCTCCATGATCAGTTGAGGGGTGCTAATTCGCAACATATGGTGATTTTAGGTGATTTTAACTACTTGACCATGATTTTTGGGGGTGACTGGGGGGGGGGGCACGAGTAATTTTTTGGGGGAATGCGCGCCACTGTGGTTAATTGGTTGTGGTGATTGTGATGAAGATGAGGATGATTATAGAGATGATGATGATTTCTGTTACTTTCATGATGAATACTGTATTGAAGTTACTGTCTGCATGATAGCCAGTCACAGGCTGAAGATTAGAAATGTGTATGACAGTATAAAATATGAGCCAAGCAAAATATAATGATAAGTCTTTTGACAACCACTTGAAAATTAGTGCAAATAATTATTGTATTCATGGAAACTGAAAAAGTTTTTGAGGCTTTTTTTAGTTGTAGGCGCTTAGATATAGATAGATATATTCCCCTTAAGTCCGAGTTAGTGCTAGTTATTATTTTTATTATTATTATTATTATTATTATTATTATTATTATTATTATTATTATTATTATTATTATTATAATGTTCCACATGCTAACCAATAAAAATACCAAACCAAAGTAATTTTAAATAAAAATCATCCAGGAATAGATAGGGCCCAGGGAGGGACACTTTCACTGGTGGATGATTTATACGACCTCAGCCCCATCACGATGTGGGCTGAAGTATGAAAATTTATGATTATTGCATCTCTTAAGACTTAAAATCTGAATATAATTTTCTTTTTTAATTTTGAAAAATTTAGGGGGCCCAGTTGGTTATGATTTCCACTCCCACCCCCACCCTGAATCCGCCATTGGTATGTAATTTTGGGGATATTAAAAATTAGCTATATGAGTAAATCTCAATGTGTGCATGCGTAATTAATTCATAATGTTTGAATATTTGTGACGTGAAGTCAACTTTGGATCTGTCTTAGCAGAAAGTGTTCTTCTGACCAATTGTAAACAAACTTACGGCCTTGTACGCTTCAACCCATGCGATCTAGCTAGCGTGCTAACCCAGGTGCGATATGCTATCATGTCTTGATGTGCTGTTGCATCTTAAATATAAATATAACTATATTTATACTTTTTTGCATGTCATCTTATACATAATACATATGGTCCCACATTACTTGTAATCTCAGATCCAAAACTCACTAATTATTTCTGTGGTCTGGGTTTCAGCATGAGTGAAGCTTGTTTGTGAAAGTATATAAACATTGATTTGATGGTTAAACACTATTTTCATTTTTCTGATGATTTGATTGAGGTTGTCATGGTAACTACTATTGCAACTTCTTACAAATGTTTAGTCTTTTAAAAAAAAAAAGTAATTAAGTATCACCTGCACCAGTTTTCATTCGTGTAAATCATCAAGAAATAACACTTTTTCTATTTTTTTTTCTATCATCAGAGTCATAATCCTAGTCATATCATTATTAAAATCATCATCATTATAATCATCAGCAACATAATCATTATTATAATCACTATCATCATTTATGTTGTAAGTATTAGCATGTTTAGTTGATATTTCTTTTAATATAATATATTATCTCATTATTTATTATATTTCTGTAAGTATTACAGTACAGTAATTACAATTTTAATTACCAAATATTATTGATTTAATCTATAGTATTATTTTAAAATATTTTTATATCCCTG